AAGCTTGTACCAACACTTGTCGAGTTTCTTCGGGTAATTCAAGTGCCTCGGGAAGATTTAAGTTTGAAGAAATTTCTTTGAACCTTGCAATCATTTCTTCTTCGTCTGTCGATACCTCTTTCTAAGTATTTTTGGTATCTGAATCTTTATTTAGGGGAGCATTAGTTATGCATTTTTCTTCACAAGCACTGATCACATAAGAAGTCATTGATTTCCTTGTAAATAATTGCTTGGAAAAATATTTCATCAATGTTACAGGTGTGTGAGAACATAACTTATAGTCTTTATTATCAATAGTTATCGGCTGGGAAGACACTCTTCTTTTTCCTTCATGTCTTCGATTTCGGCGAGAATGAGATCCCCTCTTTTTTTGGGGGTGTTTTGGCTTATTAGTTGGAGGAGATGAATGTTATAGCTTACGGGCTCTACGAGGTTTCACCGTAGTCCATTCTCCCAAATCTTCTTCAATAGCCACAGAACCATCTAAAGAAGGCCACCCACTTGGTTTGAGATCCAAAATAGGTGCTACCAACATGAGCTCTGATTCACCAAGTAGATTAGATGACTTTGTGTTAGTAATTGAGGTTCAGTATTTATCCTTTTTATTGACAAAGGTTGACCAAACAGATGATGATGCCCAAACATCTAGATCATATGTTATGAGTTCATAAAGCATTGGGATGTTGGAGTTTTTATGCCTCGGTATACCTGGATATGCATACACCGTTGTTCCTTGAGACTAGTGCAATCCCGGCATTTCAGGATAAAACCGTTAGGAAGAAATCCCTCTCATAGGCTCAAGAAAGGCAGCTAACCCATTGTGACAAGGCGAAGGCTGATCTTGCTTTCATTTTTCAAATCAACTTCTATCTCATTATCAACAATGAATTGTACTTGCACAACTCCTTCAAGAAGATGAACGGTAAGTTCCTTACTTGCAATTGATGGTGTTTCTTCTGCAGAGATAGAAGAATTCAATAGTTGTGATAGTTCTTTAGGATGTATCAGAGGTGAGGATTGTGCTTTTCTGTTTGGAATTGGTATAGGGTCGAAGGATCCAAAAGTGACCATTGTCACATTTGCAGCTGTCATTTCTTCGCTAGAATCGAGCTTAATTTTTCCTCATTCAATAAATAAAGAATCTCTTCCTTCAAGATAAAACATCTTTCAAGGTGATGACTAATAATTCGATGATATTTACAATACTTTGGAATATCAACCATTCTCGATTCTTTTGGCCGCTTGGGTGTTGGTAACTCGATAAGCTTTAACTCGAGTAGCTGATCAAAAATATCTGACACTTCACCATCAATGAAGGGATATTTCTTATCTTCAAGTTCTTTTAAACTTGGTCTTGTCTTCTTTTGAGTCTGTTCTTGATTAAATTTGACTTGAAAAGCTATCTTTGGCTTTTTATCAAAAATCTTCATCGATGTAGTGGAGATTGCCAAAGATTCTTTGATTTGGAGGTTTTCACATCTTTCTTTTCACGTGGGTCATTAAGAAAGTAACTTTCGTGCCTGAAAATTTGAATCTCCATGTCATGGGCTCGTGTTACAAGTTCTTCGAAAGTATGTGGTATGTTTCTTTGGAGACCGTAGAGTAGTCTCCAATGTATTCCTTGGAAACACATATCAATCGAAGAAGTTTCACTAATGTGTTCCTTGCAATTGAAAACAAGACTTCTCCAGCATTTGATGTAATCAATGATAGGTTCGTCTTTTCTTTGCTTTGTTCCTACAAGTTCAAGAAGACTTACTGTTCATCGGGTGCTATACAATCAAGTGAGGAATTCCCATTCAAGGTGGTCCCAGCTATTAGATCAGTATACCAACCAAATGTAGTCCCTCTGAGGCAAACAAATTGTTTCACCATCAGGTCACCGTAGGTACCAACATTATTGCATGTTTCAATGAAATGGAAAACATGCTGTTTCGAGTTGCCTTTTCCATCAAACTGTTGAAACTTCAGGGGTTGGTAGCCCATTGACAGTTGTATCTCATCAATTCATATGGTATATGGCTTCACATATACCAACGAAGAGTGAGGAGCTCCTCCATACAGGGCTCGAATGGTATCAGCAATCATATGTTGAAGTTGTTGGATAGAGAATATGGCAACAGACATTTGTGAGGAATCTCGCATGACATTTTGTGTCATGGCTCGATCATATTGCTCTTGCTTTTGCTGCTGTTATAAAGACTTTGGATTTTCTGGCATTTTAGTGTCAGACGGACTTGGAGTTTCTTGACTACTTCCTTTTGAAGGTTCTTCCAATTCAAACCAGTTCATGAGTGCAATGATTTGCATTTCTTTACCTTCAAGGGTTTTGGTCATCCTCTTGATTGTAGTAGTGAGTTGCTGAAGATGTTCTTCAGATGAAATAGCTTTTGTCACCATCACAAACATAGGCATATTAGAGGCTGGGCAATAATCACCCCATTTCTACTTAGGAGAAGTCTCGGAGTAAGATTCAGTCCTCAAGCCTTTGCTGGAGTGTATGTTAAGCAAAGAATCATCCGTTTCTTCCTCCAAATCGATAAAAGAATGGGCAAGTTGTATCTTCTGGTTGGAAGAGCCTTCCTTTTGCTTTGCCTGAATCGGTGCTCTATCGGTGGCCAAAGTTAAGATTTGTCCGCCTTTGTTCTAGCACGGGTTGTTGGAATTGACTCCTCAACCAAGTCCGCTGACTTGTTAGTGGGAGGAATCACGATGTCTTTGGTTGTCATTGTTGTCAGGCTTGTTAGATTTTTGACTTGAGAGATGAGAGGGTCCCACTGGACATGCCAAAATTTGTAATGACAAATTTCATGAATAAATTAACACAAAATAAGGTCAAGTAACAATAGTCAATTTGATTGATTTTAAGTAAAATATGTGATGTTGACTCTCTTCGGCGTGCTTCTCACATGCATTGTCATCTGATTCTCGGTGAATTTGATGAAGTGAGGGCCTAATTAGCGTATTTCTCACTCTTCAATTGGAGGTGGCTTTGGTGGATTTGATAAATATGAGTGCTAGAGCAATGTATCTCCTGTTCTTCAATTTGATGATGCTTTTGATGAATCTTCTTACCGTTCTTCATTTTGAATGGCTTGAAGATGAATTGGATTTCTTGAAGAAAGATCTTGACAGTGTATTCTTCTTCCCAGAAATGAACTTGCAAGGCTTTAGTGAACTTTGAGCAGAGTTTCGCCGATCTTTCTTCTTCCTTAGCTTTTTCTCCCTTTCCTCTTCTTCCCTTTGGCCCTCCCCTAGACTTCTATTTATAGTGCTAGGAGTAGTTATTCATATAAGAGAGATAGTTATCCGTATAAGAGTATTTTTACTTTATTACTCTTATATGGGTTTTAGGTAGTGTACTACCCATAAATTTGTAGGCTTTAATTAATTTATGGAATTTAAGTAGAACTCACTTTACCTTTTAAAAGTTTATTTAATTTGGTCTCATGGAATTGAAGTCCATTTTAATTTAATCTAACAAGCCTGAGTAATTGCATTTGAGCTTGTATTATTTATGTTATGGAATTCAGGTCCAGTTTAATTTAATTTAACAAGCCTTGTTAATTAAATTTGAGCTTATATTATTTAGGTTATGGAATTTAGGTTCAACCTCATTTTATTTATCTAATTGATTTGAGCTCAATTATAGACTTTAATTTATTAATTTTTTAATGTCTACAATGGTTTTAGGAGAAGCTGGTGGGTTGAATAGGTTGGAAAATAGGAAATTATCCAGATGCCCCTTCGTATCTAGGGACGAAACTAAAATTTTATTTTGAGGGGGCCAACAATGATATAGACAAAAAATTTAATTTAATGGGGTTATTCAACTGTGATTGTCAATAATAAATTTTTGTTTATAAAGAATATATTAAATTTATTTTATGCAATGACATTGAGAAAATTATTTTTGAGTGCAAAACTCAAAAGTAGTTCACCATCATAAAAATTCATTTGTGATAATCTCCACTTTTTTTTCTTGTTTATAATGTAACCTTATGTCTATAAATAAATCAAGATCACAAATAATAGTTTCATATGATACCATAATAAAACTGAATTATAAGTCAACAAACTGCTTTTGATATAAATCATATCTGTATTCCTATTTTTTTTTAAAAAAAAAAGGCACTTATTTTGTTTCTACATCATCAAAATAATTCAATTAGTGTCTTTGTCAGTATAAGCGACACTCATCCATGTTATTACATCCTAATTGGTTACTAAATATTAAGATATTGATCTTTTTGAGTACACTAAGTGAGCCATTTACACATTGGGTATTTTGAACAGCAAGAGGTTAATAATAAAACTTTTTAAAAATATAGGGAGGTAATAGAATTTTTAAAATTTGAGGGCACCATGACCCTCCTAGGCCTCTTATAGTTCCGTTTCTGTTCGTATCCATCACGTGTTGAGCACGTGCATTTTTTTGTCATCTATTTGGGCGGCAGTTAGGAATAGAGACCACGTCTATCAATGTGTAAATATAAATGATCAAATTGACTAAATTAGAGCATTAGGGACAAAAGTTCAATTATTAGCAAACTTTAGGGACTATTGGTGTAAATAATCCTATATTTTTGCCAATCTAACGTTCAACCACAGAAGTTAAAATAACTATGGACCTAAATGAAAAAAATACTACAAAGTAAAAAAGTAATACTACACGGATTTAAAAAATAAATTTAAAAATTAGACTTGATAATCTCAACCATCGATTTTATTATAAATCTCATCATTTATTTTTAAGTTCACGTAACATTACTCCAAAATAAAANATACTACACGGATTTAAAAAATAAATTTAAAAATTAGACTTGATAATCTCAACCATTGATTTTATTATAAATCTCATCATTTATTTTTAAGTTCACGTAACATTACTCCAAAATAAAAAAACTACCGTAGAAGAGCTATTCTATCCCAGGAAAAAATCTAATCCTGATGGTGTTATTTCTGGCGGTTCAAAATCAAAACCATGAAAACGAACAAGTATGTTCTCTCTCTGTATACACAAGTATCTAAGTGGTTCCTTTACCGGCTCTCTTACTTCAATGGCAACATCTCTATTCACTGCACCAATAAATTCCTTCACAACAACACACAAACCCGGTTATTCTCTCTCTCTCGTTCTTTGAGTACTTCATGATGCTCCTCTGGCTCTCAGTTATTTTCTAATTGTTATCCTCAGGATCTTGTATATTCAACTTTGGTAATCAGAAGCTTATTGGTGCAGTCAAGTATTTATCTGTGAAAGCTAAGGTCTGTGTTTATTCACCTTCAACTTCACAAGCTAGACTTCAATTTTAGGTTCTGTAGTTTTACTCTAGCTGTTTACTGTTTACAGGAAGGACTGGAATTGGTATTATTGACTTCGGTCTAAATTGTCTTGTATCAGAATTTATTTGATTTAATGTATGATCCATTTTATGTCATTTCGTGTGGTGTTTAAGTGATTGCATATCCACTTATTTATTAAATGGTTCTTGGGGGATCTACCTGTTTATCATCAGATGATTCACGAACTCACTAACTGATTTTCGGGTTTGTGGATGGGTGCTAATATCATCAAGCCTTATATAAAGGTCTGAGAGTCAAGATGCTCAATGGTCCAATAACATAAATTTTGCATTCACCTGATTTTGGTCCTTTCATCCTCTGTAGTTCAAACTTTTTTAAGTCTCTTCTTTCTTTGATTTTTATCCAACTTTACTTACAGGCCACCAATACCGACCAAAGCACCAAACCAAATAGTGTTATATGTGCCGATTGTGATGGAAATGGTAAGTATCTCATGCATTTTTTTTTATCCTAAGTTGGTTATGTTTGGTTGAAAAAACTTGAGCCTTACTGTTCCTTGAGACTTTTTATAGGTTGTTATTTCCAGCATACCATAAGGGGATACTGGAAATTTCTAACAGGGTTCTGTTTCATACCGATGGATCCAGAATATGCGTTTTTGGAGACATTCTTTTGACAGGTCTTTAGGGAGAATTTAGGAAAATGAATTGAAGTTTGGAGAAAAGAACTCCTTGAAATTGTGAAGATCATTTCATACAAATGATGGAAATTTCCAATCTTAGGCCGTTTCCCCCCACACTTCTGCCCTCGGATCCAAGACAGAATAATTTTTTATAAGATGATCTTGCAGAATTACTATAAATTTAAAGTCAAATTCCTTCATTGTGGGATAGCTTTTATCAATATAATGAATTGGTTTCTGTCTCATTACCAGGTGCAGTTCTTTGTTCACAATGCAAAGGTAGTGGAGTGAACTCTGTTGATTTCTTCAATGGACAATTTAAAGCCGGGGAATCATGTTGGCTTTGTGGGTATGCTCTTTAATTTTTAGTGTTGATGTTGTATCAGGTTCTGCATTAGGAATGTCATTGCGATTGCTGCTTCCTTTTCCACAATACAGAATAAAATTCTTTGAATTGGGAAGAAAAAATTTATTCCAGCTCTTTTGCAGCTACCTAATCCCAAAAAGAAGTGGTCATCAATGTATATCTAGCTCTTTTGTCTTGTGTCAATCCTCTTCTTTAAGACATTTAGTTGCGTTTGGTTTTTTCTGCTGTTACCTTAATCGCTTGAGATGTTTCTCTTACAGAGGAAAGAAAGATATGTTGTGTGGAAATTGCAACGGAGCTGGCTTCATAGGTGGTTTCATGACCTCTTTTGATACTTAGAACAAGAGAGCCTTCATCAAAAGGACCCAAATACCCAAATTTAGCTAATGTAAATATACAATTTGCGATTGATATCCCAAGTGCAATTTGTACCAATGATTTTGTAGTTTTTCTTCATTTATGTTCTTATTGCCAGAAATGCATATAAGACTGTCTACAGTATGATATGGTTTGCTTCTCATCAATGTTTGAGTACTACATTTCTGCATATCCTTCAGTTGCTGCATGTTTTGGTGATTGCACAGCCTGTCCATGGCGATTTGGGGTTCTAAAGGCTGTCTATAAACTCACTCATTTGCATTTGGAGCAAACGAGTAGCCTCTGATTCGGGATGAAACACATGATAAACATGTGTCTCGCCCTCAGCTTCAACCAGCTTCACTTCTTTCACATTTTTCTTCTGCAAAAACTCGGCATACATTACCCCTTTTTCCTTCAGGAAGTCCAACCCCGCCAAGTAAACAACCACATCTGGGAAGCGATGCCACTCAGCTGTTGAAAGTTCTGCCTTCTCAAAGTTGCATCCATAATAGTCACGGTTTGATCCTTCTGGCAGACTTAGCCTCCAAAACATATCGTTCATCGCCACATCCCCAGCTGACCCATCAGCCAATTCCAGTTCAGTCCTTCTTTGACTTCCAAAGTAAGGATGAATTAACAGCAGGCCTCTAAGAGTAACAGGAAATGCTTTGTTCTGGATGGCCTTAACAGCAACCTGATGAGCTATATTCCCACCAGCACTGTCCCCCGATAGGAACACACGAGAGAGGTCAGCTTTTTCAAGCCATGGTTCAGAGTTCACATTGCGACTTAGCCAATCAAGCGAGCTATAACAATCATCATAGGCTATGGGAAGCTTATTTTCTGGTGCAAGACGGTAGTCTATAGAGAGGATAATGGATTGGGATGCAACAGAAAGATCGCCAAGGAAAATGTGGTAGCCAAGCCATGTGGTTGAGCCAATGCAAAAACCACCGCCATGGAAATAAACAAGAACAGGAAGCTGATCGAGGGATGCTGGAATGTCAGGGAGGAACATTCTTGCAGTTACTGGTTTTGATGCATCAATGATGATATCCTTGGACTTGTATTTAACGGATGATTTTGTTGACGCATGGGCTATTTCAGGAGCAAAACGATTCACAGACCCATCGGAAAAGACTTGTATGTAACCTGGTGCTTCAGCAACTATGGACATTTTGGTGGGTTGTATAAGTAAATTATAGAGTATGTGGGATTCTTAGGTTCAGGGTGTGTAGAGAAAGGGTAATCCTTAGGAACTATATATTGGAATGAAATAGATGGTGGGTTGGTCATGGAAAGTGTATTGAATCCAAAAACTGTCAATGACAATCCAACTGTAGAATTGAGTTGATATTAACATTTAACTGATGGAAGAGAAAATTTTATTCTGGTCACAGAAAAAAAATGGACAGGAGAATTTGGTAAGAGCAACACTTCTTGTGTCCCATTATTCTTTGAACCCTCTCTCTCTCTCTCCAATACTCCGAAAACTTCTCAAGAAAGGGTGTTTCAATCTACGTTTATCAATAATTTCCTATGAAGCAGAAAAAATCAGCAAAGATAAACCGCATCTAATTTATATAGAAGGGCAAAGAAAAATAAATGTAGCCATCTATGATTTTTGAACTGATTTATTTGTACCAGCCATCACGTAAGTTACTAGTATGTCTTGGAAAGAATTTTTCATGATGAGGTAGATGAAACTGATCTTCAAATCAAGAGCCAAGAGCAATGTTGCAGCAAAATCCTTCATATTTCAGGTAATAACAATATTCTACAAGAAAGGGGTTCATATCGTACAATGACACTGGCAACCAGCCTTCGGCCTCTTGTTCTAAAACAGGACTGTTCTTCCATGCCTCCTTCGCAAGAGCAGTTAACCAAACTAACTACTTGGCCGCTTGTTCTAAAACAGGAATGTTCTTCCACGCCTCCTCAATTTCGTTAGTTTGCAAAGGGGGCAATGAAAACATGCTTACTGTAGAACTTCCACTTCGAATCTCTTTCAAGACCCGCAATGCTGATGTGGTAAGCTTCATGTACATGCTCTCCATGTTCTCAATTTCAGCGAGTTCTTCAGGAACCTTAAGAGGCCTCTTGTTACTTTCAGTAGCAGTGTTGGTGTCGTTGATTACTTCAGATGGGGCCGGCTGCTCATTCATGGAGAAAAACCGATCAATCATTTTCTCACACTCCTTCACAAGATTGCTAAGGACATCCATTCTGTAAAATGGCTGCTGCAAAACATTTTGGATAAAAGGCAAGCGAATGAGAGCACCACTTCGCTTGTCATATTTCTTGAGTATCTTCACTAGTCCTGCACAAAGCAAGTTAGGATTGGATAAATCAACGTAAGCTTTCTGAAGAAAGATATCAACATTATTTGAGCTAAGGAACAATTCATTAATCCTAGCCATTGACCATGCTTTAGTTAATTACCATTGCATCACTATTTTCAGCAAAAATAGCCAGTAAATTCAGAGTCATCCAAAATATGCAATATAAAATGGATATATCCAGTCATGTACCTAAAATAACACCTGGAAGATATAGGGATCTTAGACACATTCAATTAAAAGTGTTTCCTCCCTCTGTTTCGTGCAGCCAGAATCTGATTAGTCCTTGATATAAGAGGTTCAAAAGGTGAAAAAAGAAAAGAGGGGTTGTTACCTAGTTAAGTCCCCATTAATAGAGGGTGCATGCTGGGATGAATCAATGTTACCAGGATTGTGGGTCACTTTGGTACGCGATATGGGTACTACCCCATGCGGTACAATAATTTCTTAAGTATGCAGTAAAGTAGACTTAACTGGCACAACATTTTGGATCACAATTCGTTTTGGAACTCTTACCTAAATCTTTTTGACCACTATATAACATTATATATCATAGAACATTTATAAACACTAAGTCACTTAACATTTCTCTTACATATGTACTCAATTTTCAATTATCTAAAACAATATATAATTATAAACTTATATACACAGTTAATTAATATATATTTTATAATTATGCTACGTGTACAATTTAAGATCGTACAATTTAGTGATTTAGATCGCGAACCCATCCTATTTGGGATTGATGTACCCAACTCGTGGGTCGTCAGAGGTTTAGTGGTTTAGTAAATTCTAATAACTATGGGATTAACTGGGTGCATACTTAATCCATAACAATATTTACATGTAGTGGCTACTTCAAGATTTGAACCAACAACCTCACCGTTGCTTGTCCAACACTTTTACCACTGCATTAGCCAACGACCCTTGAAAAGACAACATGAGACAATACCTTGCATCCATCAACTACAAGATTTCACAAACCATTGAAAAATACTGCATTCCATGTTTTGATCTTCCACATCTTCGAGCATAGACCTATAACACTTGGCTAATCAATTATCTATGGAATTCTTTGACATCACTATTCTTGTCCCTATTTTATCATGATGTCAATCAAAGACGAACTCGCTTTTGTTTTCTCCTTAAAAAATTAGTTATTAACTTGTTGACCATTATGTAACTTATTATCGGTCCACAAAATGCACATAGAGCGGTTAGTCGAACGAGCTCGAGTCGAATTCGAGCCAAGCGAATGGGCCCAAAACGAGTCGAACTCGAGTCAAGCCCGGGCTGAGCCCGAGTCAAGCCCAAGCTGAGCCCGAATATTTGCATATAAACGAGTTGAGTCTGTTGAGTTTAAGCCGAGCATGTCAGGCTTGTTTTCTAAACGAGTCTAAAATCTTGTTCAAGTTCAAGCTCGTTTAAAAAATGAACCGAGCCGGAACGAGCCAAACTCGAGTAGTTCAATTCAATTAACAGTCCAAAATGCACATGAGATGGGAAAAATTTATATCTCCTAATATAATTAGCTACAAATTTCAACTATTTATTCCAAACTGAAAGTGTTGGAATATGATCCTAACACAAACTTTAAAAGATTCAAAATAAAAATATTACAGAAAATAAGTTGGGCCTCGTTTGCTTAGCATCAGAGCTAGACATATTTGTAAAATGCAAAATGGAATAAAGATGTCGATTTCAACTCCTCTAATTCACAGTGGAGGATTCTAATTCATATGAAGCTTTTCCAAAAGTGACATCATATCACAAACATGCTCAAGAATATAAAGACCATAGGAAATCTCAGAGGGGCAACTCAGCCACTCTTCCTATCAAATTCCAAAAATCTCAGAACATAGTAGCGCAAACCAAGGTTTATCCACAAAAGTCTGCCAGAACTGAGACTGATAAAAAGTTTCAAATCCTTAACAAATGCATTGACAAGGTTTCTCCCTGGCTCAAAACAGATATTCTTCTAGACCTCTACCATATCACCTCAAGTCAATAAAGCCTAACTGCAAGCAATTTTACCTTTAATCCAATCATAATCCAATTGTGAAGCAGGACGAGGTATTAATAGTAGGCGTACGTAAAAATTGGCAGAGAGATGGACAGTTCGTCACAGAATGTTCAATTTGTAAATAGGTACAACATCTAAGCTCCATTTTTTTATGTAAGCTTTCTTTTCTTTTGGGGAATTGTTTTCTGAATTTCAAGGGATTTGGCAACAAGGAAAATGTTTTCAGCATAATTTTTGTTTGTGAAAATTGCAAATCCAAAAAATGGCTTGTTGATTTTTGTAGCCCAAGTCATTTTCCATGTACTTACATGCATTATTATACGCTTATGGTTATGTTTGCCAATTGCCACATATGCATACATTTATCCACATCCATATACATACTTTTCAGGTATTTTTCTGCAAAATTGTTAGTGAAGAAAACTATTGTCAAAATGTCCATCAAACACCATGAAAAATGTGGAAAATGGTTTTTTCCATGAAGGTGATATCCTACCAAATATTTTCCGAAGTAAAAACTTTTATGTTGAAACAATGGAGTGGTAAAGTACTAAACTGATAATTATATTGGAGTAGCAATCTATGCAGTTATACTAATATATTATCAACCAGTTTCAAAAAACCCACTTAAAGCAAATCAGGTAAAAGAGGCGAATACCTGTGTAGTTTAGGGCGCTATAATTTTCCAACAGAACCATCTCCCCATGAAAATCCACTATCTCCCTCCCTACTTTCATCAACACTTCATTAGAATCCCTAGTCTCTGCTACCCTATCTTGCAACACCTGCATTCCAATATAAAAACAAGGAAAATAAAGTTCGCTAGAAGAATCTTCATTGTTCCATCCTGTCTACCACAACATATGTGCAACTCCTCTCCATACACATGCATACAGAAATAATGGAAATTGAATATATCTATATAATAAATCAGATAGGTTTTTTAACTTATGGGAGTATATTCTCCCCCCCCCCCCCTCCAAAAAAAAAAATTTCACACACCCAGCACACACTTCTACCCCAAATTTTACAAACCCAACACATAACTGCATATACATACACACACACACACTCCATTGTATGCACAGTATCATAATTCAATATATAGTGACTTTAGTCACGGGACATCGCTAGTGTATCTACAAATAAGCATGATTAGCTTTGCTATGGGACAAGCACTGTGACCAAATTACATGACCAATTTTTTTCTTCCATTTGAGCCAAGTGGCCTTCCCTGCTCTCACCCATTGTGCTAAACATGTGCAAGAATTATAGATAGTAAAAGAAATCGCAAAAAGTTACTCTCAAGCAATGTGGGTCAATGATTTCTAACTTAACCAAAATATAAAACAGTGGCTACATACCCCAAAAAAACAGTGGAGTTGGGGAAAGGAAAAATATATCTCATCAACTCTTATGAAAAAAAGGAATACTTACTCAATCACTCACTTGGTTCAAACATAATTTTATTCCCAACCCGACCTTACCGGATAGCAAAACTAATAGACGAATCTTCCTTCTATCTAATAGCAAGATTAACAAGCACACCAAACACTAACATTGACTAAACCAACTTGTTTAGGGGCAAATCACAGAAAAATGATAATATCACTATGCGTGTTTATATATAGGAAATTCTAACTCTCAACTTGATATATTTCTTTTTATTTCCTGACCAAAAAAAAAAAACTTGATATATTTCTGTCAGACGTTTCTACGTCGGACACTGAAAAACCTAATAGATATTATAGGACATAAACTTTCCTATCATCATAAATTGGAAATGTCTCAATTATTGAACCTAATTTAATAGAATTATCCATTTTCCTGGCTAAGAAATTTCACAAAGTGACACAAAATTTTACATTATTCCATTTTTTAAGATTGTATCAGTTCCCACCACAACCAAGGTGGTGATATTTATTTTTCCGTTTAAAGCTAAAAATGGGCAAACTTCCAACTTTCACTTACATTCCAGACTCAAATTCAGGAAAGATTTTATTCATCTAGAGATCACTGCAATATCCATCTAAAAATTAAATCAGGAAACGTGAAACGGGATTGAAAGATTTCAGATACGTTTAAGTTCGATTATTGCAATTTTGTCGATTTTAAATTTCTCTCTATTATAACAATTGTAAATAAACTCAGAACTATAAATTTACCTTTAATATGATGACATATTCCTCTTCCTTATCCTCAAAGAACGCATTAAACTTTTCGATTTCTTCCTCCAAAAGCGTCACAAAATCAGTCACCTCCTTCTCGAAACCCTCTCTCTCTCCTCCATCAACAACCGCACAATCTCCGGTGGAACCCACTTGATCGTCGCCACCGTCCGTTTCACCGCTCAATCTTTGCCGTTTATTCGGCTGATTGATATACACACCCTCGCCTTCCTTCGGATATATCTGCTTCAACTGCTGCTTCAAATCCTTGTACGACAAGAACTTGTCTTGCCAATCAGGCAAGGTCTCTTCGATCAACTGTCTGAGACTCTTCCAGAACTTCATGGTCCGTTGCAATTTCAATATACAAAATTACAGATGCATGTGTGTGCAATTATAGTGGAGACAGAGAGAGAGACGGCAGGGAAAAGAATCGGAGAATATTCGGGGGGGTGGGAATAGGCATATCCCGCGTGGATATCTTCGAGGTTTTAGCTCAGAATAAATTATACGTTGACCCATCAGCCATGACTTTTTTGTATTGTCACTAANATCTTCGAGGTTTTAGCTCAGAATAAATTATACGTTGACCCATCAGCCATGACTTTTTTGTATTGTCACTAACCTTCCCTCCATTTTTATTTTTTTATAAAGTAATGCTAAATGAATTTAAAAATTAGACTTAATAATTATAATCATTGATTTTATTATAGGTTCCAGTATTTATTGGAATCCATTATTTATTCAATTGTTGAGATTATCAAGTCTAATTTTTAAGTCCATCTAACATTACTCTTTTTTATATTACACCCTTAATTATTATTTTTTATGTTATATACTTAACTATGTGATTAGTTTTATATGGTTTCAAATATTAAAATTCGACATAAATTTTTAAAAAAAAAATTGTTTTATTTTATTCTCTAAACTTTAATTTTTTTTACTTTACCTTAACAGGACAATTTTAGTCTAAAAATATTTCGAACGTTTGCATTATGAAATGATTCAAGTAGTTGATGGAATAACGTAAATAAATTCAATATTTTAAGAGGTTAAAGTATAATTTTTCCATTGGTGTATACTTGTTCTCCTTGGTTTGACCGTTCAAGTTTTCTTTGGGTTTGTTTTACCCTTTTGTTTTTGGTGAGTTGTAGGAATAAATTCCAAATGTCATCAATGTTAAACTTCTTGGTACCATAAGACAAGCAATGGTCTTCCCCATCGTTAAACTCGCCCATAATTTAATAAATAGGGATTGTGCAGATGGAAAGAAAGAATTTCAAACATTAGCGTAAGTCTAGTATTATTTATAATTCTTCTTTCTCTTTTTATTTTTCATATTTCTTGTTTACTCTCTGTTTTTTTTCCCTTTTATTTCTCTCTCCTTTTAAGAGTCCCAAGAAACGCATAAAATATGAAAAATAATATTTAAAAGAAGTATGTATTAAAAAAATGAATAGTTAAAATATAAAAAATACTCTTTAAAGACGTCCTTTTTATTATCCAAAATATCACTAACCTTTCTAATTTATATTTAAACATTTAATACAAAAACAATTATTTAAAATGTCAAAATTACCCCTACATAAACCCAAACAATCTTTCTACATAAAATTTGATTAAAATTAGAACTGATTAAAATTTATTTTTCTACATATTAAAATTCGAGTTGATTAATTTTTTTTAACATATTAAAATTTAAACAGATTAAAATTCAATTTGAAATGATTATATTTTATGTATTAAAAATTGAGTCTATTGAAAAAAAAATTTACATACTAAAATTTGAACCAATTGGAACTCTACAGGAGTTGTTAGCATCGATTAAAATTTACTTTAAATCAATTAAAATTTATATTTTTTTAATTATGAAAATTCATGTCAATTAAAATTCGATTCAAGTTGATTAAAATTCATTTTTTACATATTAAAATTTGAGTCCATTAAAATTTATACTTTTCTATGTATCAAATTCGTCCTGATTAAAATTCAATGCGAATTGATTAAAATTTGATTCAAGCCAATTTAAAAAATATTAATTTGTAAAAAAATATAATTTTTGATTTGGCTCAAATTTTAATATGTAAAAAATAAATTTTAATTAGCTCGAATCGAATTTTAATCGATCCAAATTTTAATACTTAAAAAAGTTTAAAAAACACATAGATCTCATTAAAGATATGTCTATATAGATGGGGTGTAAATGAAATTTTTTAAAAATATATATGTGATGGGGTGTTAGTGAAAATTTAAAAAATAGAGAGGATATCACTGAAAATATAATAAATTAAAAGCGGTGCGATTGAAATTTTTTCAAGATTTACTCATCATAAAGACTCCAATTTCGATGTGAATGGTTCGTCTTTCGCTGGATTTGACAAGAAATTAATAGAGGTTCGCGTAAACTAATTTAAAAATCTGTGACCACAATACCAAAAATAAAATGGCTGGAAAGAGTAAAATTAGAATAGGTAAATTTATATGGTTAAATTTGATAGAACAGAAATTATTGAATAGGTAAATGTGGTAAAGAATAAGGTATGAGTGATTAAATAAAAAAATATAAATTATTAGTACTAATAATTATCAAATATTACACCAAACCAACTCTCTCTTTATTAATAGTATAAATTGAAGAAATTAACAAGTTTAATGAATAAACTTGGTCAAAATGTGCTTTTGTTGTATTTATGTATATTATAACAATCAAATTAAAGCGTTAATATCATTTTCACTAACTCTAGTCGACGTCTAACACGTAATGTCATTTTCATTTTTTCAGTAAGAGTTCTAAATTTTAATTTTTATAAGATCAATTAAGCTTCAAAATTCTAGGTTTTGGAATATACATTCAAGTATATTAATGTTCCGTTTGGTACGATAGAAAAATGAAAGGATGAAATGTTGGAAGAATGAAAAGTTAGAAAGATAGATAAAATATAATATTTGGAAAGGAAGGAAAATAAAAATAATGAAAAAACAGATGAATGAATTTTTCTTTCAACTCATCAAAACCAATCCCTCAAAAATTGAAAGAAAAATTGATGAAAAATTAATTATTTGTGTTAAAATATATTTTATTTGTCTATATATCATTTAATATATATATATATATATATATATATAATGATAAAATATGTAATTATACTTTTTAAAAAAATAAAAAATAAAAAAATATTTTGTCCATCTCATTAAACACAAATAATAATAATAATAATAAATCAATTTTTTATTTATTTTTTCTAAAAAATTAAGTTCAATTTTATTTTTTGTTCGACTCAAATACTCATTAGTTTTCTACTGAACTAACTAGAAGTATAATTTTAGGTCATCATTCTATCTGTAGCTCAGTCTGCCACAACTGAGTTATGCCTTAGCTTATTTAGACTCTTCCTTAGACAAATGAAGATAGGGATGTAATTTGGGGCGTCAATTCTAACATAATTCAAAATTTTTAGTATTCTAGTGAATTTTCAATTAGAATTCATATTTAAAAAGTAAATTTTTTTTAAAATTTAGATTTTATTCAAGTTCAAATTTGTTTTTAAGGCCCAGAAAAAAATTAATTAACTTGAGTTGAACTTTTTTTACTTAACCCAAAAAATAATCTACACAGAAAATGGATTATTTTATTTCAAAAAATATAGTAATGGCGAAGATTATTTAGATTTAACAGCTTACAATTTCTATTTTAAGTAGTAATAACTCCATATCTGAAGATATTCTGTAATATCAAAAATTGAGTATTGATTGTATAATATTTATATTGAAATAATAACACAATTTTAAATTAAAATAAACAGAGAAAAAATAAGGAAGAGGTAGAGGAGAGACAAGAGAGAGGTAATTATGGATTAGTGTGGGTTGTCTGGCATTGAGGAGTGCGTTTGGCTAAGTTAATTTTTTGATCAGGGGAAAAAAATTGGAAGGCATTTTATACTATTTGATGGTACTTAAAATATGGCTAAGATTGAGCTCGGTCATCCAACTCGACCATCTGAGTTTGAATAACGCAGTTTCTGGTGAGCTACTAGAGGTGCTCAAGTCGATTTTCCCTAGCAACAATGCCACCAAGGGGACAACAAGGATGACAGCTGGTGGCCACCAAAGTGTTACACATAAATTGCAACGGTCTTACATTTAGGCAACAGAGCCATAACCACCAAGGCATCACCCACGGTGACTGCATAACAGATGCATATGTTACAAATAAATGGCAAGGATCATGTCGGAAAATCAGGCAAGACACTGAGAGACTATAAATAAGAGACATATCTCTCACAATGTAACATAAGCAACTAGTCTAAACAAATACTTTATGTAATCTTCCCCCTCATTAATAAATTATTTCTCAGGAGGAAGAGACTCCTTTTAAAGTGGATTAGTCGAGCTTCTGATATGAAGAACCACTATAAACCATATGTCTGAAATCCCTTTCCATATACACAATCCTCTAGAGCCTAGAAGCTCTAACTGGGTCCTCTAGTGAACCCCTGACCCTTAGCAATCACCACTCTTCTCAATTGTGTAACACATACCATCATTTGGCGACATCCGTCAGAAATGTTCATTTCCTATTAAAAACTTTACTGATTACTTTAGCAATTTATAGTTTCTATGCGCAATATGAGCAGAAATCAAATGAACCCTCTACGTTTGCAAAATTAACAGGAAATTGCCAATGGAAAACAATAGGAGATCCCTCTGAATCCCTTGCCTAACCCCGAAATAAACCCGCTGATAGCAAATCCCCTTCCCAATGATGAAATTAAAGCCCTCTGTTAAGCCAACAACCACTTCTTCCAGCAGAATAATGAATTGTTGAACCTCATTCGCGCTCAGCACCCTCAGAGGGGCATAACCATCCCAGGATGATCCCTAATAAAGGGAACATCAACACCTTAATCCCTTAAGGAAAATTATGGAGGAAAATAAGCACAACTAATCAGTTGGCAACATTCATTGTCGAGCTCAAAGGAATGAGCAAGATGAATCGATTCAATGTCAGAATATGGGAATTTTTAGAAACGGGCTACCCCCACTCCTTCAAAAAAGAAATGAGCAATTTTGGGAGCAACGTTTCAAAGAAATTCAATTGGAGCTCAACCACATGAAGGAGACTATAAAAGGCAAAACCTCGATGACGATGGACACCTTGGTCCAACAGACAGAGTCCTCATTCACAACTGAAGTGCTACATTATCCTCTACTCTAGAAATTAAGGATGTCGTAGATGGAGACCTTCGACAGAACAAAGGAACCCATGCATCACCTTAATACTTACAAGAACCAGATGGAATTGCATGGTGTCAGGATCCAGTGTGATGCCGAGCTTTTGCTATCACCCTAAAGGGTTCAACCTTGGCCTTGTTCAACAGGGTGACCCCATCATCAATCTCCTTATTAAAATAACTCTCCATTTTGTTCGTATCCCATTTTATTAGAGCCCAAACTTATCAAAAGTCGAGTTATCACTTGTTGAATATGAAACAAGGGCCGAGTGAGTT